ATAGAGATGGGCAGATGGATAGATAGACAGACAGACTGACCTGTGATCGTAAAACTAGATAGACAGATAGATAGATAGACAGACAGACAAAAGTAGATAGAGCTGTAATCATAGAACTAGATAGACAGAGATGGATAGACAGACAGACTGACCTGTAAACGTAAAACTAGATAGACAGACAGACAGATATATAGACAGACAGACAAAGATAGATAAAGCTGTAATCGTAGAACTAGATAGACAGATAGAGATGGATAGATAGGCAGACCGACCTGTAATCGTAAAACTAGATAGATAGATAGATAGATAGATAGATAGATAGATAGATAGATAGATAGATAGATAGATCTGTAATTGTAGAACTAGACAGACAGACAATGATGGATAGATGGACGGACAGATAGATTGACTGACCTGGAAAGTGGTAGATAAATGTAGATAGATAAAGCTATAATTGTAGAACCAGAGAGACAGATAGAGATGTGTAGATGGATAGACAGACAGATCATAAAACTAGATAGATAGTTAGATAGACAGACAGACAAACAAAGGTAGTTAGTTAAAAATATAATTGTTGAATGAGATAGACAGATGGATAGACAGATCAACTGACCTGTAATGGTAAAACTAGAGAGAGAGAGAGAGAGAGAGAGAGAGAGAGAGAGAGAGAGAAAGAAAGGTAGATAGACAGAAAAAGTAGATAGATAAAGCTGTAAATGTGGAACAAGACAGACAAAGATGGATAGATAGATCTGTAACTGCAGAACTGGATACATGGATAGACAAATGCAAATAGACAGAGCTGTCATCGTAGACTACAGTCCCTGGCTTATAAACACTGACTTATAAATGTATGTAACTGCAAAATTAGATAGGTAGAAAGATGTGTAGTGATATAGATAGATAGATAGTGTGTGGGGGGAGATATATAGGGCAGAGAGAGCAAAGAAGCATTCAACGATGCATACTCAGAGAGATAGGTAGGTAGGTAGGTAGATCATATGAACTACATAGATAGATACATGGATGGATGAACAGATGGTTGGACAGATAGACAGACAGATCTAAAATGGAAGAACTAGATAAATGATGGAGAGAGAATCCCTATTCAGATATGATGATAGGTATTACAGAAGAATGGAAGGAAGATAAAAGTCCTGTTCATGTGATATAAATTATACAGAGACAGAAGGATAGATAACTCCTATTCAGACATTTCAAGAGTATAGAGAGGGGACAAACTCTATTCAGATATTATAAGAGCATCAATACGTAGCCAGAGAGACAAATGGAATCATATTTAGATATTATTAAATGTCTAAGAGTTCAGGGATCTATCTATCCAAGCTTTCCTGTTGACCTGAAGGATGCAAAACAATATGTCATTCAGGGAGGGAGCATATCCATTTCCGAAACAAAGCATCCAACTGATGGTTTTGCAGTATTCTGGCAAATTCTGATCGGTTGTCCAAAACCCAGACTTAAGAGTGTGACGTGCTAAAAACACAAAATATTCCACTTACCCAAAATGCAACAGACAAATGCAAAGAGGCCCATGTTGTTCCAACTTTGGGAATTTGAACTCCGCTCCACCTTGCCCTTGGATATGATATTTCCTGTCTTGATCGACCAATCTGACCTGACTGATACTCTATCAATCTGCCTCAACCAATCTATTGAGTGATCTACGTTTTTCACTCCATCTCGATTGTCTACAATCCAAACATCTTGCAGCTGATCTGCCTCGTCCATCCACTCTGCCTTTATCAATCCTTCTCTCAAGCGATTATCCTCTCCCAATTGATCGATCAACCTCCTCAATCTAATAATGGTGAAGAAGATGCAGCTTCTTCTTATAAATTGCTCTATTGCCATCCTTCGTTCACGTCTTTGTTCAGGTGCAACCCGACACGGACACACCTTTTTTGTGACATGATCCCTTCCCCGCCCTTGAGTAGAGCATACCTTTTTTTGCAAAAAATAATTAAAAATGTCATTTCTCAAAGGTCAGAACCCCATCTTCTTCACATGAATGGAGTCTGACAAATGCTACACCCTCGGGGTTTTTTCCTCTATCAACGTCATCCTGAAAATATTCATATCCAATAGGGGACCCCCTTTCGTAACGAAGGCCGAGACACATTGTGATATAATGGTTTCAATGCAGGACTTATGGGGTTAGAGTTTAACTCCAATCCATGGTTTGCTCAAAAGTGGGCTCAGCATTCCTTTAAGGCTAAGAGAGTGGAACTTGCACAGGATCACCCAATAGGTTTCCACGGTATGTTCGAATTCCAAACTCTCATAGTCCGAACATGAGTGTATATGGGACGATCAGAACTTGTTCTCACCTAGGTCCTCAAAGTTCAGCCTCCGGTTGGAACATTTCATAATAACAATATAAAAAGGAGGAAGAAAACGGACAGAGGAAGGGTTTGGACCACAATTCAATTGTTTCATAACATTTTTCTTTCACCACGTTGGACACATTATTCAACCTCAAAGGTTATGCCTTATGACATTGGTTGGCACAACGCACATAAGGAAATACTTCATTGCATAAGTTACTAATGGATCCGGTGGATAAGGATGCTCCCGGGTTTACATGGTATTACAAGGGGATTACACAGATCTACGCTAGGGATCATCTAATGATGTCACAATGATGTACGGCAGGTAGAGTAAGCATCACCCAAATGCACAGGGAATGGCCAGGGGGCCATACAAACACACCAAAAGAATAGTGAAAGCATCATACAACTCCATAGAAGAGAGTCAAAGCATCATACAAATCCAGAGGAAAGAGTCAAAGCCTCAGACAAATCCAGATAAAAGGGTCAAGCATCATGCAAATCCAGGGGAAAGGGTCAAGCATTATGCAACTCCAGAGAAAAGAGTCAAAGCCTCATACGAATCCAGAAAAAGAGTCATAGCTTCATACAAACCCAGAGAAAAGGGTCAAGCATTATGCAAATCCAGAAGAAAGAGTGAAAGCATCATGCAAATCCAAAGGAAAGAGTCAAAGCCTCATACAAACCCAGAGAAAAGGGTCAAGCATTATGCAAATCCAGATGAAAGAGTGAAAGCATCATACAAATTCAGAGAAAAGAGTCAAAGCATCATACAAACCCAGAGAAAAGGGTCAAGCATTATGCAAATCCAGATGGAAGAGTCAACGCATCATACAAATCCAGAAAAAAAGGAGTCATAGCCTCATGCAAATAGAGGGGAAAGAGTCAAAGCATCATGCAAGTCTAGAGGAAAGAG